GGGGTTTTGATGGGCAGTAACTCTGTCAAGGGGTTTCAAGGCTTAGGATGAAGGACTGGGTTAAATTAACGGCGGTTGGACCCTCTCCCATCCCAGGAATGGGCTGGAAAAGGCTGAGCACAGCTGGGGGGCAGAGGCACGGTGACAAGGCATCTGTCCAGTGCCCAGACCCGCCTGAACACCATTCCCACTGATCCAGAATGAGTCCTTGACTGGACCCTGTAGCAATGTCTGCTTCTAAGCTAGAGGAGACCTGTCACTAGAGGACACCTGTGGCTGGGCATGCACCTCCCTTCTTCCCAAGAAAATGAGGGAATTGCATCCATCCTCCTCCAGGGAGCAGTCCCTAGTCCACACTCTCCCTGGGCAATGCATGGAGGTACGTGGTGTGGCCGTGGAGGACACTGGTGTGACCAACTGGGGACAATCAGCTCACCCAAGAACTCCTTTCTATCCTGTCCTGCCTAGCACAGGAAAGGCCCCTCATGGACCTGCAAACATTCCCAGGTGGGACACAGGGAAACCCACACCCTCTCCTGTCCCCTGCCAGCTCTCATTCCCCTCCTCCAGCCCACTGCTCCCCAGGAAAGCTGGGACACAGCTCCAAGCGTGCCGTCCAACGCCCTCCAGAGATCTTTGGTCATGTTGCTCGTGAACAAGCTATAAAGTGCCACTGGAAGGGGCAGGAGTGGGGCAGGATGGTCTTTTCCATGGGTAGAGATCCATGGGGACACCACTGGGAGCTGCTGTGACACAGCGTGGGCAGAGGGGACTTCAGCCTTAACCAGGGACAACAGCAAATCCTGGCACAGGGGTGACAGCAACAAAGCAGGACAGAGTGACACCAGGCTGCTGGAGTCGGTCCTGAGGGGATTGCTTTTCTGAGAGGGGCTGAGCCCCTGATTCCCACTGCCACAGCTCCAGGGGGGGCTGAGCACCCTCCATGTGAACACAGCATGGTGTGGTCCCGCTCACCCAGAGAGAAGCCACAGAGCCTTCTGGTCTCCATTTAATCACTGAACATACAGAGCTGGGCTGTGATTTACACCCAAGAACACTTCCCTCTGCGTGACGCAGCAGCGCCAAGAGCAACACTGGGATTCCCCTCTGGAGAATCCCGGAGGTGAGGGATCCCCCCCCCCCAGCACGGCGCCAGCGACAGCAGGAATGGTGCTGTGAGACGGTGGCAGAAGCTCAGTGGGACTGTGTGAGGCACAACAACTTGCCATGGCTGTGGTTTCACCCTCGGGGTGAGACGGGAGTGCTGGAATCAGCGCAGCCTGGGGCTGACATCCTGGGAATGGTGGTGGAGCAAAGCTGCTCGCAGCAAGGGGTGAGGCCTTCTCTGTCACCAGGGCAGCCTGCTTAGCCCCCAGCCTCGTGGATGGAAGTCTCTGGAGCTGAGCAGTGTCCTCTGTTTGCCCTGTGGATGTGCCTGGAGCGTGACTCGGCTGTGTGTGTGTGTGGGTGGGTGGGTGGTGTGACACCAGAGCTGCTCCACCACTGGCCTGGCTCTCTTGATTCTCTCTCAGAATCAACTGGGTTGGAAAAGACCTCTGAGATCAGCAAGTCCAACCTGTGACCCAACACCACCTTGTCACCCAGACCATGGCACCGAGTGCCACGTCCAGCCCTGTTCCTAAACACCTCCAGGGACGGTGACTCCACCACCTCCCTGGGCAGCCCATTCCAATCTTGGATCATATTGCCCAGCCCCCTGTGTCAGGTGTCCCAGAGCATCTCTAATGTCTGTGGACGCCCTGTGTGGGGCAAGTGACCTGAGACCCTCGTGGCCACAGCTCGTGGTGGTGGCCAGTGGCAAGTTAGAGATGACTTTGGGGGCAGGACTTGGAGAATTACACACGAGCCAGGATGTCACTGGGAGCCGAATTCCATTAGCTCCAAGGTGGAGGAAACAGCTGGGTTGTGGTCAGGCTCACACTCTATGTGGAGTTTCACGGGACAGAAACCTTTTATCAGCCCTGCCTGAGCCTCCAAGAGATGATGCCAGCCTCCTTGGCCACTCCCAGGATGTGCCACCAAAACGCCAGTCTGGCACCCCTTGGCTATTTTACCCCAAGGCTGAGACCCCAGAGCCTCAGCATAGATGTAGTTTGGGATGGTAGACTTCATCCAGTGTGTGAAAGCTGGGAGAAGCCAGGTGAGTTCCCACCTGGCCACGAAGAACAGGAATCCAGGTGTCCCACCATCATTTTGCTCCATCTCTGCTGAGCAGAGGGCTGGCACAGGGGAGAGAACAAGATGGGAAGCAGTGCATCCAGCTGTGGAGAGGAATCCCAAAGCCCAGGAATCCTTTCAGGGCAGTTTGGCTGGGGAATTTGCCAAAACCATCTGTATTTTATGTCACCAGAGCACAGGGGGGTGGTTTCTGCTGGAGCGCTTGGGGGAAGCCTGGGTGAATCCCAAGAGAGGGAAAACCCCCACCAGCAGCAGAGTCTCTTAATGGGTGTCTGCAAGGCTCTGTCATCCAGGGATCATCCACAAATTGAGGTCCCTCAGATCTGGATCAAAACTCTTGATTGAAGTGATGCAGCGAAGAAGAACGTGAAAGGAGTGGGCCTTTCCTCCTCCAAGGTGAAAAACCTCTCCTTGCTGCTCCTGCTCCATCCCAAGCAGTCCCTGATGGATGCACTGTGAGGCCACCGAGCCCCTGGGCAGTCCAGCACCCCCGTGTTACCTCCAGGTTTCACTGGATCCATCAAGACACTCATTCCTGGTACCACTGCAAAAAAAGATAGAGCAAAAAGACACGATGGAGAAAACCTGGCACACTGGAGGGCTTGGCTGACTGCTGCTGGCTGGGCCCAGGTCTGTGGGGAGGCCACACAAGCCCCTGCTTCTCCTGCCCATGGACTAGGAAGCAGCTCTGGAGAGAAGGTGTCCCACAGGGTGATGCCAGTGTCGGTTGCTCCTGAGTGTTAACGCAGCAGGGAGTTGCAGTGTGCACGTCCTCAACAGCAGAGCTGGAAGCTCAGTCCCCCTGTGACTCTTCTCCACACCCACTGGGACTCAGACCTGACCTAACCCCCCTTTTTATGGCTGGTCCTGGGAGAGGGGCTTAGCCTGAGCTGCCCCCGTGTTTTTCACGCTGATGAGTTGTGTCTTCCTCCAGCTCCAAAGGCAACGGGCAGAAGTGGTGGCAAAAGACAGGAACCGTCAACTGGGGTCTTGAAATGCCCTGGTCTCGCAGCACATCTCCATTTTCTGCAGGTTCCAGGGATCTCTGCCAGCCACCAACAGCTCCTGGCCATCAGGAGCACTGCCTGATGACCGTGGTTGGTGGGACTAACTGCAGTCTCCTCTCTCTCTTTGCTCAGTCTGGAGCTCACCACGGCAACGTTAGTTCCCAAACTGAAGGTCAGGCCCGGTGATGAAGAGGGGAGCTTTTCAAAAAGGGAGCATGGGAAATGTGCAGCTCCAAGGGCTTTTGCCTGAAAGGTTTTCAGCCCCTCAACAGCCTGAGGTTCTTCCTTCTTGTGGACGTGGAATGTGATCTGGAGTCACCCTACAGACATTCCGAGGTGTCCAGTGCTAATTCTAGCTTTGTTCTTCTGTCTTCTCCGTAAGACAAAGAGCCAAAATTCCCACTCCTGTTGATCCTTGGGCCACCGCCCAGTCTGTGCAAACTCCACTTTGAAACATTTTCCTTCTCTTTACTGTAAATCATGGTAAAAAAATTGTCCATGAAAGGGAGAACTGAGCCCACTTTGCCCACATTTTCAAGCCGAGCGCCGGGTTCTGCCGCCTCAGTGACTGTGCACGTAGGATTTGGTTATTGTTCTGCCAGGGCATAAGCACTTGCGTGATCTCAAGCATTTTCCCTCCTTAAGGACCGAATTCATGCTCAGGATTAGTAGCCGAGTGTTTTCTTAAGCTAGGCCTGCATTATCTCCATCCCTGGAACGCGTGATGCCCGCGTGGGATGGCCGTGGGTGCTGTTTGGAATGGCTGTGCTGAAGGCTGACGCTCACCCTGTTGGAATCCAGCTGGGATGTGCCCCCTGCAGCTCCTGAGTGAGGCTTGGATGCTGTTTTTAGGTAGGCCCTGGACCAAGAGAGTGCCCCCAGGCGTCACTCCTTCGGGGACAGGGTGGCACAACTGCCCAGTATTGGGGCAAATTGCTAAAGCTTCAGTTTGCATAAACACCCCACAGGCTTGGAGGCTTCCCCAAACCTTGATCCCACTGACTTTGGGAAGTAAGAGGGCTCTTGGGAAGGGAAACTAGCTTGGATTTCCAAGCTTTTTTCTTGCTGTAGCCAGCTTGGGTGTACAGTAAGAGTAAGGGGACCAAGGCAGAGGTGGGAGGGTATTTCTGCTCCCAGGATCGGACACAACCTGGGAGAGGAGTGGAACCGCAGGAGGAAACCACAAGGAAATGAAAACACAGCTCTGCTGAGCCCCCAAAGGGGTTCCTGCTGGGAGATCATTCCTTGTTGGCTTCTGTTACCAGGACAGGCTCATCCTGCTCCTCAAGGATGTCCTAGCCTCTTGCAACCATGGTAGCCATGGGCTGGCAAGAGGGAGTTGTCTGGCAGAGATATTGTCTGGTTTCACTGAAATCAGTGGCCAACCTCACACTGACTTCACTAAGACCATCGTCTGGAACAGGGTACTCGATGCAGAACAGTGAGTTTGCTCCTCATCCCGAGAGCTTTGCTCCGTTAGCCAATGTGGCTAAAAACATCCCGGAAAAATAATAATAATTAAAAAAAAAAAAAAAAAAAAAGAAAACCCAAACAAACCAACAAACCTGCCACTTTGAACTGTTTCGCTGCACGGAACTGCTCGGAAAGCCAAAGAGACCGAATGCAACCCTCCAAAACAACCGACCGAGTAGGGGTGAATTGTAGGGGAGGGGCGTGGCAGCCTCCGGCGGAGTAACAGTCACGGCAGATTAACGAAAGAGCCAACTGACCCTCACCAGCTGTACTAGGAAAGAAAACCCAAAAGAGATGTCGCGTCATCGATAGAAAACCAACGCACGTCCGCAGTTATTTTACCTACAGAGCACAGAAGTGGAGAGCAAGGGTGGTGGAGCTCGGCCGGGAGCAGAGCAGGCTCCCCCCGCCCCGGCGGTAGCGCGTTATCCTTCGGAAGATCACTGGCTTGAGTAGGTAGTACATGCACAGCAACAAAAAAAATCTGGTTGTGTCGTGGCGGTGGCCCCCCCCTCAGATCTCGGTGGACTCTATTCGCTCGAGCCTGGAGGGAGTCCACGTCTTTTTCTCCTCGGTGTGCGGGGGGCTGGTGGCCTTGGTGTTCATCTCGTTCACCTTGTGCTCCAGGAGCTGGTTCTTCTGGTACATCTCCACGTAGTTCAGCTGCAGCTGCTTCTGGTACTTGATGACCTTCTCCTTCTCCTCCTGCCACGTGCGCCGCTCCTCCTCGAAGTCCATCACCTGCTGCTCCCGCTGCTGCCGCTCCAGCTTCAGCTCCGTCTGGAGCCGCTCCACCTCCTTCCGCAGGGAGTTCACGCTGTCCTCGCTCTGCCGCTGCATCTTGGCCTCGTCGCTCTCGCAGGCCAGCGGGTCCCGCAGCTTCTCGCCCAGGTCGGCCCCGAAGGGCCCCGGGGGTCCCATGCTGGCAAGCGTCCGCTTCAGGCCGGAGACCTCCAGCTCACAGTGGTTCAGCTTTTCCCTCAGCACCTGCACCTCGCTCATCTTGCGCTGCAGTTCGCCCTCGCAGATCTCCAGGTTGACGCTCTTGGAGCTGTAGGAGTCCTTCAGGGTGAGGATCTGCTCCTCCTTCTCCCGCAGGAAGTTCTTGCCTTCCTTGAGCTGCGAGCGCAGCCCCACGATCTCGTTCAGCTTCTGGGAGACGTCTGCCTGGGAGTCCTTCAGCTGCTGCTTGAGCAGGGAGATCTCGCCTGCCTTCTGGCACACCTGTGGGAAGAGCATCCGTGAGTTTGGGGGACAAGCAGCGAGGAGCCACGGCCCCTGCTTGGCCCCGGTGCTGCCCACGAAACAACCCCGCTCAAGGGCTGAGTCCCAGCCTTCACCGGGCCTCAGACCACACCAAAGACCTAAAGGTTGTCCCCACACCTGTGGGGGAGATTTTGTGTGGGTTTTTTTCCCTGCAGAAACTTGGGACTTTTCAGGGACCCGATGCTGTTCCCAGCTGGAGCTGTCCGAGCAGCTGAGCCAAGTGCTGAGAGACAGTGATGCTTCTTCCCTCCTTGCATTTGTCTTACTCACCCAACCACAGGCCTGTGGTGCTCGACCCCAAACCCTCTGCTCTCAGCAGGACTTTTCCCACTGACCTCAGTGGGATCTGGACCTTGAACAAGCCTGAAACAGAAACACCTCAGACCCAGGGACAACCTGGCCTCTCCCCGAGCACTGGGACAGTAGGACAGGATGATGTTACTTACTCATCCTATGATGCCTTCCTTCCCAGAGACTCCTAAAGAACCCTGGAAGTGTTCAAGGCTTGGAGCACCCTATTCTGGTGGGAGGTGTCCCTGCCCCTGGCAAGAGCTTGGAATGAGAGGGTCTTTCAGGTCCCTTAACAGAGCTGGGCAGAGCAGGTGGCTGAAGGAGGGCCAGTGCAGCCTCCTCATTCTGGGATGTAACATGCAGAGATTTTACAACAAGCCTCTAATAAGCTCTGCTGAACATCTGCAGAAGCACATTTCAGAGCCTAATTAATCCCAGCTTCATCGACTTCCCATCAGGATTAGCAGAATAGGGTCTTCTTGATTCTAGAGCTACGTTTTGCCTCTCCACTCTTAATAAATTTAAAGTTTCTAGCCAGTCCATGGAAGGATTAAAATTCTTCGCATGATCAGGCTGGAAAAAAAAAAAAAAAAGGTATGCGAGCACTGGCTATACAAACAGACTTTGATAAAATGTTCTAAAAATAGAAACAGTGGGAAAAAATTATGTAGAACTCAACAGGAGAACTAGAAAGAGGAATTTGCCTTTCAGCCTTTTAAGAGAGATAAACTTATTAAGAACTGAAAACAGCGTGTTGCAATGGAAAGCATGAGGTAGACTTGGCCATTGATATAATTTTTAGCTCGGCTGCTTTTTATCTTCAGCAAGAAAAAAAAAAGAAAAAATTCAAATATTTGAAAAGCAGTTTCAAGGTTTGCCCAAACCTTACAAGAATTTAATTAAAGCAGACTTAAACCTGATTTCGGTAGGCACAAATACCTGTATGGAAAGAGTTGTGTTCCCTGAGACTGGATTTAAATGCCACAAGTTGGAGTGACCAGAACTGTGAAGTCAAATCATTAACCAGCACAGGAGGTGTGCACAGAAAGTTGGGCTTATTTTAGTTTGATGGAAAACAACAAGTCTGGGACTCGGACAGATGAGGTGACAAGTGTCACCTGTTACCTGGAGGACACCAACCCATAGCCATTATCTGTGGGGTCCATGGGAGGTAATTTGGGCTACCAGAAACCTTGATGAAAACCTGTTACAACAAGGCTCTTACCTCCCACTTGGTCTCTTCGATCTTTGGGAGAAACTCAGCCTGCTCCTTCTTGAAAGCCACAAATTTCTTCTCCAGCTCCTCTCGCTGCTGGAGGAGCTGCCCCATGTCGTCCTGGAGTTTTTTTTTCTCCTGCTGGAGCTTGAAAATTTGGAGCTGCAAAGCCTGCTGAGCCCTCTGCGCCTTCTTGGAGACCTGCTGCAGCTTGTTGGCGTAGTTCTGCCTCAGGTCCTCCATCTCCCTCTCCCAGATCTTCTGCTTCTCCTCGAACACCTGGAAGATCGCCGCCTCGCTCTTGTCCAGGTTCCTCCGCATCTGGAGGACCTCCTGCTCCTTCTCCCACAGCCGGTCCTCCAGGTCCTGGATGATGTCGTCGGTGGAAGGCGAGTGGAAAGGCATGGTCTCGTTGAGATGGTTCAGCCTGCTGAAGGAGGAGGTGCTCTTGCTGGAGGACCGCCCGCTGTCTGAGGTAGATATCCCGTTGTATCCCACGATGTTCTTCTCCACGTAGGTGGTGCCGATGCGGTTGATGTGGCTGGTGGAGGCGCTCATGGGCCCCACGTGCTGGCTGTAGCCCGTCCCGTAGGTGGGCAGGCTCGTTAGGGAGTTGCGCCCCGAATCCGAGAGCCCCCCCCCTTGGTTTGTAGTCCTGTTAAGGCTGCCCTTGTCGAGCCCAGCTTTGGGGGCGGACGGGCTATTGCTGTTGGCGTGGTTCAAGCTCTTCCTGTTCTCCGCCATCCCGTTGCTCTGCGGCGGGCAGAGGTTCTGCATGGAATGGAAGTTTTTAGGAACTACTGGCTTAAAGGCTGAGGGTCTAACTAAGGGCTCATTGCTCTGCAAAAAGGAAAAAGGACCACGCGTCAAACACAGCAGGAGGCTCGGTAACGACACAACAAAGAGAGACACATCGGCACGGGGCGGGGCTGGGGGGGGTCAAGTCAGCTTGGGCTGGCTCCACATTGCACCTTTTGGGCCATTTGGGGTTGTACAGGAGGGACCTGTAGGCAGGACAACACTTTGTGTTCCCTCGCCCCAAATAAAAAGAAATAATCTCGACTCACCCCCAAACCTGCGTGATTTACCCCCTGGAATACTCCTTGGGCTGCCACTCGCCTACTAGACCTGATCCAAACAACTCTGATTTTGGCTGATTGTCTTTGGAAAGACTCTCAGCCTTGAGAGTGCATCGCCCTCCTGCTGAAAACCGAATTGAGCCCTTGGGTTGGCAGCTATTTTGCCCCAAGAGCATCATGTTTCCCTCCTTCTGGGAGTGATCTCTTCCTGGGTGGACCTTGTGTCCTGCTTATGCTCCGATGGGAGCAGATAGGAGCTGTGACTCCAGCAGTGACTCCAGGCAAGGAACATGCTGAAGCTGCTCTTCACTGGAATATTTGTGTTTTCCGCGGGCGTAAGCGATGCAGGGGGGAAAATGCACCACAGGGATTTAGGAAGGATTTTAAAGCCTTGAACGTTCCCCACTCTGTCAATGTGCCTACAGAAAAAAAAATTTTCTCAAAATGGGATTGAGTCTCCCCTGCAGCACGTTGGATTTTAGGTGAAAATAAAAGCAGAGGAATCAAAGATGTTGTGGAAGTGCCTTCTGGGAGAAACAGGAGCCCTGCTGAGCAGGCTGGAGACCAAAAACCTCGTGCCTGTGAGACTGAGATGGACTACAGGGACCAGTGGTTTAACAACCCAGGAGAAAAGGCCACCAAATGCTGCAGAAATAATGCTGGACACAAATTATGGAAGTCACTGGAGCAGAGCAGCGGGGGACATAAAATACTGCTGGCTCTGGGGCTCTGCTCCTCCAGGCCTGGCAGATTTCGCTCCCTGAAGACAAAATGAGCCACAAGGACTGGGCTGGGCTGGGTCATAATGTTTGCAGGGGTAGTTTCAAGCCTTGTCACCTTGTCCCTCACAAGGGATTTTGAACAGATGCTCAGAGCTGCTTTCAAGCCACAGCTTTAGGTGGCAGAGATTGCCTATAAATGGTACAAACATGAGAGTGGGACTCAGATGCTGGACCTACTGCAAGAAGAGCTGATTCCAGCTCCCTCCCCATCCATCAGGGAGGTAGGCACAGCACCTCAGGGAAGCTGGAAGAGCCAGTGACTTAAACACAGGTTTAAATGAGCCAAAAACTTCACTGCGATCATGCTCTTGGGTTCCTCAAGAACTAATGCTGGCCCTGAAAGTTATAAGAACAATACTATCCGTACATAAAATGTACAGAGTGAGAACTGGACTATCTGCCAGGATTGCTTTTTTTGTCCAGGGCTTCCTGGTGTGCGTTCCCAGGGCCGTGCCGTGGCCTCTGAGCACCTGCAGGCAGTGGAGGGTCTCACCTGGTCGAGTTTGCCGGAGATTGGCAATATCTTTGGTGGGTTACCGGGCTCTCGGTACTGGGGAGGAGGCGGCAGGTTCTTCTCGTTGTTGGCGGTCACGTTCCCGCAGATGTCCACCTTCACCTTCTCGCCCTTGCGCAGGTCGCCGTTGATGTAGAGGGAGTTGGAGACCTTCTCCGACTTGTAGGTCTTCTCCTCGCCGGAGTAGCGGTGGGAGATCTCCCGGGCGGCGTAGCCGTTGCGGGAGCCCTCGGAGGAGGCCTGGCGGCCGCTGCCCTGCGTGCGGGTGCCCACGCTCTTCATGGCGAACTCCTGGTCGTTGGCCACGCCGCTGCCCACGCTCCCCATGGCGCTCCTGGGGCCGGCGGGTCGCGGTGGCCGGGCGGAGAATCCGTGGAGGCTCGGCGGGCTGGCGTAGGCGGGGTCACTCGGGACGGGCAGAGCCTCTAGCGTGGCCATGGCAGCGTCGAGGCGAGCTGGAGGCACGGGTCAGTGGCACTGTGGGCAGGGGGGAGAGGAAAGGGCTGTTAAAGAGGTGCCTTTTACCCGCCACCCCACCCTTTGCGGATCGAAACCGTGTCCTGGTGTCTGGTACAGAGTGGATGAGGGGGTTGCCCTCCTCTCTGGGAACCCCAGACACCCCTCTGGCAGGAGGGCCCTACCCCAGCAAGGCCTAAAATCCAGTCAGAGAATGCAGACGGTGCCAGCTGTGGTGCCAGCTCTCTGTGATGTGTCAGCAGTGGCACCATGGTGATGTTCCTGGTGTCGAATTCTGCTGAAAGCAGCCTGGTTCACCAAACTCCAAACACACATCCTGCTCTTTGGCATCAGGTGTGACAGATAAGCTGGGAGCTGGCCTGGAAATTTGTGACTGGCACTCAGTCACTTTAAAAGTCCAGTCCTCTTTCATACAGTCGGGTTCTTCCAACATAATCCTTCTGGGGGGATGGGGTGTGTGGAGATTCCTCCCTTGGCTGGGGACACCCCCCAAGGTCACTTCTCAAGGTTGAGAGCAGAGATCTCCCCACAAGTGTTAGGCTGGGGGAGTTACATCAGATCTCTACTCAATAATTATTTCTTTTTGCCAGCTTTAATATAACTGCTTCAATAATTGCTTCGGTGTAGTGCACTGTCCTATCTTATGCTATACTGGTAGTTTTAGTGTTTATATTGTAAGCAATTCTGAGTAAGATGTTTTGTCTGATCATTTGTATAAAATAAATGATTCATTTTATATAAACAGTCTCATTTTGCCAGTCATTAAAACCTGCGGGACAAAAGTAGTTCAGTCACACCTCTGTAATTCCTAAAATTTAAACTGATGACATAATCCAAGGCTGAGATTGGATTCACCTGGACCTGGACTCCTCTCTGAGCAGGAGTTTGGAAAGCCAGAGAGTCCTTTCTGCACCTTGTGACTCAATGGCTGGGCTTTTTAAATAAATATTTTTCTAAGCCTTCCACTCCCACCCACGACACCCCCTTGGAGAAGCACTGATTCCCCCCAAATCCCACTCAGTGCCCTCCAAAAGAGCTTCTCTTAAAGCCTCTGAGCCCAAGGGCTGGGTGCTCCTGGGGAAAGGAGTCTGTGTGGGTTTTGTTTGGCACAGCTCTGTGGCATCGGTCGGACACAACCATTTACAGTTCCCAAGGTTGGATTAATTCTGTCGCCTTTCCCAGGTTTGAACAAGTTTGTGTTGCCATGGGGATACCATTTCCCCCATCCCTGGTCCACCAGTAGCTCATCCAATTTCTCTCTCCAGCCCATCTCTTAGGGATGATTCAACAGGGCTTAAATAACACGCTTCCCATCTCTCCCTTTGGGAGTGTTGCGCCCATGGGCTTGAGCTTTTGGAAAGGTGCTTTTGTCCAGGTGTCATCCTAACTTTTCTTTTAAACTTTTGTTGCCCTTCTCCATCTTATTCTTACTTTGGCTGTGCCTTGGATTGGCCAAAACCAGGCCATGGGAAGTGGATAACGTGCAAATAGTGGTTTTAAAAGCTGTGTTTAACCAGGTCAAAAGAGCTGGGTTGTCCTGGGACCAATTGTCCTTGGGACCAATTCTCACACGTCTGGATGCTCTTCATCAGCTTTTACACAAAGGTGAAAAGTCTTATTTAAGGAAATAAGGGAAGTGGGAGGTGCAGTTTTTCCCCTGGATGGGATAACAGAAGTGATGCCCCTTGGAGGGAGGTTCAGGGAGGGAGGAGTTACACAGGGCCAGCAGGAAGGGGAATGGAGATACCCCCCATTTCAGTGAGGGATGTTCATTGAGACCTCCCTGAGGAAAGCAGGAAAGCTGGGTTTATTTCCCTGGAGAGCAAGCTTGGGTCTAGAGCTCAGCTCCCGTGTGGTGTCTCAGGGGGTCTTGCTATTTGCACTAATAACGGAATGGAGAAGCATTTAAAAGGTTAAAGCAGGGGCTGTGCTGCTCAACTTTGCTTTTATTAAACTGCACTTTCTGGAGGCTTCTCCTCCCACTTTCCAGCACCTTGTCCTGTCCAAAATACAGCTCGAGTGTCACGTGGCTGGTGGGCAGATTGGGGCAAACAGCTGTGCCAGAGGGAGAGGACACAGAGCCAACACCTGCAGCGAGCTGGCAGAGCTCCTGTGGCTGGGGACAGTGGTCACATCCTAAAAGGCACTTCCCAAAGAGCATCACAGACAGTTCATGAGTGCCCAACGCCCAGGGGTCAATCCAGCTGCCTCCTGGGCACCTGGAGGCTTGGTTGGGCTAGGGAGCGATGAGGAGGTGTGAGCAATGCCCACGGCGCCTTTGGATTTTGTTAGTCGAGGAAAGGCTTTTTTTTGCTCTGCTAATTTAGGAGTAACCTGCTTTTCGGTGACTTTGGGACCTTTATAGGCTGTGACTTCATTTTGTGGGACAGCAGCCACCATGGGAGGGGTGTGCTGGAAGGCCTCAGCTCCAGACGAGGGAAAGGCAGAGGCTGCGTTGTCTCCACGCAGAGCTCCCCAGCCAGCTGAGGAGAAATCCAGGTTACTTTTCCCTCACTGGGTAAATTTCACGGTGACATTTGCACGTTTTACATTGACTCTCTGAGGGCAGGATGAGGTCACTGGAAAGTCTGATGCTTTAAAAGGGAAAAAAACCCAACCAACCAAAAGAAAAAAAAAAAAAGAGGCCAACACAACAACAAGTGATTTCTTTTAACTGGGAATCATCCAACAAAATATTCTGAAAAAAAACCTTGTTATTAGCTTATGTTTACAGCAAACCCAGGGCCTGATAAACAGAGCACAAGGACAAACCTCACAAATGTGTTATTAAGGAGGTGCCAGAAGTGCCAACAGATCCCCGACAGTACAGCTTTGTTTGCCAAAAAGGGCCATTTTTTTTGAGAACAACAGCTCTTGGGTTTGTATCTCCTGGCAAGCTCCTGTTCCCAGTCAGGTTTTACACTGGTTGTTCCTCAGCTGAACTGTGAAATCAAGTTTTGAGCACGGGAATAGCCCTGGTGCAGAGCAGGAGGGTCATTTTTTTTTCTCCGTCCAGGTTTGGAGGAATACCTGATTAAAAACTTGCCCAGCACATTTCTTCTCCTTCAATATCTTAATCTCTGTAGTGATAGGACGAGGGGAAATGGTTTTAAACTGGCAGAGGGCAGGGTTAGATTAGATAAGAGGAAGAAATCCTTGGCTGTGAGGTGGGTGAGGCTCTAGCACAGGTTGCCCAGAGAAGCTGTGGCTGCCTCTCCCTGGAATTGTCCAAGGCCAGGTTGGATGGGGCCTGGAGCAACCTGGAGTAGTGGAAGGTGTCCCTGCCCATAAAGGAGATGATCTTTAAGGTTCCCTTCCAACCCAAACCATTCTGTGTTTCTATGACTCCACAGTAACAACCTCCCTCCCACAGGAACGTGAACTAAAACTAGGTGATTCCCAGTGAGAGGAACTGGCAGTCCATGAGCACAGGGAGGCTGAGGGAAGCTGAATGGCTCTACTTTAGCAGTGTTTCATTCCCAAATTTGTCCTTTAGAAGGGAAGAGGAGTCACCCTCAGCATGGCTGGGCTTGGAAGACACTCCCAGCCCATGGTAAAGGGGTGAAAGTGGCTCCCCTTGGCCTGTGAAGGGTGAAGAGGCTCCAGGCAGGCAGGAAACCAAAACAGGAGTATTAAGCCACCTGCCAGCCACTGCCCTTCCCAGATGTTCTAGATGTTACATCCCATCTGCAGGGGGGAGGAGACACCAGGAACATCTCAGTCTTCATCCTCACCAGGCTCTCAAGGAGATGCTGTGTCCAACTCACCTCCCAAGGAGGACTAGGTCTACCCAAATCAACCCCAAGTGACATCTATCCGTCCATCCACCCATCCATCCATCCATCCATCCATCCATCCAATCCATCCATCCATCCATCCATCCATCCCAGCAGTCACTGAGCCATAGGGCCCCTGCCGAGCTCTGCCCTCCTTCCACCTCCCCAGAGCCCCAAGGTTACAGCAGGAACCCGAGTGAAGGGACTTTCTGCAGATGCAAAGGAGAGGAAAACCCCTCCAGAACAAACACTGGGCCGAGTTCAGATTCCCCAGCATTTCCGTGTTAATAAAAGCTCAGAAGACTTTCTTTGTCTGCCTGGATTGATTCAAGACCCCCTTCCTGGTAGGCATCTCCATGCCAGCAGCTCACCAGGGTGCAGCCAGCCTTCTCTGACCAGGGATTTCACACGCTCCATGTTGCACCACCTCCCCATCCCATCCAACTGCAGCAGCCTCTTGGGCCTTTCCCACAGCAGCCTTGCCTCGGAGACAGCGATATTTTTGATGCCTGGTGCAAGAAACCTGAGGTGAAATGTCCTTTTCCCCCCAGCTCTGGTGGTTAAACTCTTCGTGGCCACCTCTTAACCCACGCTTTGCACCGGGGCACTCCTGTTGTAAATACAGTAATCTGTAAAACAACTACTGTTTCTTCACAGTCCCCTTATCCAAACGAGCCAGCGATTGCCTTCCAGTTAAACAGAAGTAAAAGTCACTTTCAGATAAGCAGCTGAATGGTTAACTAAGACTAAATTATGGGGGGGGGGGGGGGCTGGCTCTGCTTCTGCCCGAGTAGGTTAATTGTTAACACTCTGGTGGCAAAAGGCCTTGGGGAGACGGACATACCTGGGCACGGTGCCACGGCAGGGGGAAATCAATCACCCGGCCTGGGCAGAGAGAGCTCGGGCAAACAGCCCCGGAGCCAGGCAGTGCCTTGGCACACGCCACCACCCCAGGCACATGGTGCTGGCAGGGCGGGCGGCAAAGGCATCTGAAGGTCAAAAATTCCCCCCTCCCCACCCACCGGCTGTGGCAACAGGTGTGCCCGTGACCTTCAGCGGGCAGGTTTGTTGGCGTAGGTGTAGATGAGCAGGCAGTTACCCACACGATGGAAACCGTGCTTTGTGGCTCTGGTGGCTCAGCCAGGTGGTTGGCAGCAGTGCCAAGGAGCTGGGTTGGCTGGAAGATTAAAAAAAAAATAAGTCAACATGTACTGGGGTGGTGGAGTGGGTTGGAAACGGCGTGAAAAGGTTGGGGGGAAAAAAATAAATAAATAAATAAAAATTGCTGTCATAATTTCAGCTCCTTCCAGGAAAATGCATGGAGAGGGAAGGGCAGTAATGGGTTAGTGATGGGTTAGCAGTGAGAAGACAGCAGGCT